GAGAAGAACTGCCCCCCAGGATTCCCAAGGCTGTCATTTTTATGCAAGCCTATTGCCACATCTTTCTTCCGTGGAGCAGCTCGTGGTATTGAACCACCAACCTTTGGTTAACATCTGATCGCTTAACCATTGTGTCACCAGAGCTCCTAAATAGACATAAAAAAAAATACATTAATGACTCCCATCTAACTTCTGGAGATGAAAACTATAATCACTGAGATAAAAAATACACTGGATGGAGTAACAGCAGGTCCGATATCACAGAATAAAAGATTAGTGAGCTTGAAGACATAGACCCAGAAACTACAGAATTAAGTTGCAGGAAGAAAAAGCCCCAGAAAAAAACGAGCAGCATTGAGTTGTGAGGCAATTTTAAATGACTAAATCAATTGCGATCAAGTAAATTCTGACTCCTAGAGACCCTGTCGGGCAGAGGAGAACTTGGTAAGTCGTCATGGGAGGAGACAGTCTCATCTTTCTTCCACTGCGTGGCTGGTGGGTTCACACCAATTACCCTGTGGCTAACAGCTCAATGTATAACCCTTAATGCCACCAGGGTACCAGGCAAATGACCTAGTATCCGTGCAATTGGAATTTTCAAAGGAGAGGAGAGAGTTGGGGAAGACACAAAACAGTATTTGAATCAATTCGGCCAATTTTAGCCGCCAAATTTGATGAAAACTGTAAACCTCTGGTCTAAGGAGCTCAACAAACTTCACACAGAAGAAACATGAAGGAAATATGTCAATGCACTTCACAATCAAATTGGCATACCGGAGTCACAAAGACAATGATCTCCATTCTAATTGGGCGATTAACAACTGAGGTCTTCCAGGTTCATGAGCAGTGATCTAAAGTGCAGCCTCTGTTCTCTCTCCTTGCAAAGGAAAGGTGACAGATGAAAATCCAGAGACACCTGGGGACAATCCATCCAAGGGACTAATGGGTCACACAAACTCAGGTCTCTACATCCCTGGGGCCAGAAGAATGCTAGATGGTGCCCAGCTGCCATGCGAATTGTTTTGACCAGGATCACAGTAGAAGGCCCTGGACAGAGCGGGGTAAATATGGACCAGAAATCAAAATTATAAAAGAGACCAAACTTACTGATCAGATACAGTGAGGTCCCCAAGATGGAGACCCTTACCTTTCAGACCGGGAACTGAACTCCGCTCTGTGTTAGAATAACCAACCCGAAGATCAAAAGGGCAGCATTTACCCAAGGACAACATTTAGAGGGTTGCGAAAAAGTAGGGATGAGAACAGGAAACACGCGGAAAAAGTGGAATAAATGATAGTGCATCGAGGGGCCCTTCTCCCCCAACACACAAAGATACAGAATTCATCACATCGTTCCTGAGTATTCATCATTGATTCTTTATTGGAACTACTTCCTTAGATGGCCAAGTCAGTGGGAAGAAAGTAATCATAAGCTCTGCTTTGAAATTCACAAATGAATAGGTTGGACAACATCCAAATGTGGTTGGTTTTACCACAGTCCCCTTGGTAGCTGCACAGGGGTAAAAGAAATCAACACTGTTTTTCATACTTTTAGTATACACATTTTTTTTGCCTGAAAAATGGATGACAGGTTATTTGCATGGTTCCTTAGATAATTTTAGTTTTTTTCATTTTATCATTACTCATACATATTTCATGGGGAAAAGAAGTTGTTCTTTTATCTAAAATTCCTCTCATGCAGTGCTATGGAAGTTGTCCATTAATAGTAGGAACTATTCTTCACAATTGGTAATGTTTTAGGCATGTCTGAATAACATTTTAAGTTGAAAACATAATTTATCTGTTTATGTACTGTTAACTAGTCTTTGATACTCTTATAACAAGTCTTTAGAGGTTACAGTAATTCGAGCTAAGGGGCTCCTTCAGCTAGCATCTGCAGACGAAACAATTTGTGGGACAACTCCCCACGTATTCATATTTTAACGCTAAAAATCTTTGCTACAAGGTAGAATGTGTGAGTAGTGGAAATGATATTATTAATGAGAGTGGCAGACACAGGAGCACTGGTAAGACATCCGGTTCTGAATATGAAACACAGTCTGGGAATGCAAGAAATTATCTTTGGTCTCTATTTCATTCAGCTAGGCACACATGGGCTTGCAAAACTGGAAAAATAGCATGTCTCAAAATTCCTCTATGTTCAATTTCCACTTTTGACAATGCCGAGACTAAGAGAATTCTTGACATTCTGTCCCCCTCCAACCTGTAGGTAGCTTTGCGACTGAAATGTATACTGGCTTATTCAAATAACGTTGCTTTTGAAAGGCAATCATGCACCCCATCAAGAAAAAAGATGCTTGGGGATTTGTTGAACTATTGAAACCTCAAACATATCTGTTTCTTCAAGTCCCAACTTTGTAATTCTGTTTAGTTCTCCTCTACTACTCCCTGGAAAAGCTTGAATAAACTTGCCAGACTCACTGACAACGTCGTCATAGTTGTCTAAAACAAGGGTGGCGCTGTATTAGGCAGGGTGCTTAATCAATAGTAGTTAACGATCCAGATCAGCAGTGACCCTCCTCATTCTTTATTCTCTCTCCATCTCCCAGAAAACCTCTGCGCCAAAGAGAGCCTATACTTACACTTCTTATTTCCCTTTTCATAGAACAATGGTTACTGGAGCTATTTGACGTCTTTAAATCGTTCCTGAAAGCTTACCTCTAAATCAAGGTGACTTGATAGTCCCTTTAGCCTGGGGAAAATCCCAAAGTAAATTATGGAATTTAATATAGGAATACTGGCCTCATAGATTATCTCATAGTTGGATAGCTTCCCACTTTAGTTGAGATAATTAAAATTCTGGAATTTGAGACTATGCATAGTTGGCCTTTCATTTATGTCGGAGCTCAACAACTCCAGGCATCTACTGAACCACCCTTGAGCACCAGCTTTCGTGGGCATGGGATTTGTGCTGTCTGATTCCTAAATCTAAAGCCACAACATCTGCTAGATCTATACACACCGTCACAGAGTTTAACTCGCAACTCCCTCATTGTCAAGAGAGCCCATTTGCTCTTGAAGCTATCACAAGGGATTTGAAATTCAACCAGCTTCAGGGAACGATACTGGGTTGGTGATAGGCACAGACGTGGTACTTGAGGCCAGAAGCAGCTTGGCTTCATGGTCAGAGACGCAAGGACTTTATTTTCCAATTTAATGAGAAAGATAGTATTATAGTGAATGCAGCTAAGAAGGAAACTCTTCAAGAGTCAGCAGTTGTTGTCTTTTAAATAAGTCCCTGAGCTCTGTGGGAAGTGGGAAATCAGTCCCTGAAAGGCGGTCGTATTCCAGGGGACCCTCGAACATCACTGCCCCTGCAGTCACTGCAGTTGTCACCAGACCCACCTACAGTGCTAAACAGGGAGTTCCAGACTGCTGGTGCTCACAGCACTGGATAAAGCGGAGGTCCAAGCCCTCACCTTCAATCATACTTCGGTCTTTGGGGTTTTGAGAGAGAGAGAGAGAGAGAGAGTGTGTGTGTCACGTTATGGAGGAGTCTTGCTTTGAGGAAACTCTGCTGAAAGGTGATCTTTCCAATGGAGGGTGACTGTGGATGCCAGTGAGGCGAGTGGCTCAAGTGCTACTTTAGCTTGGAGCAAGATTATTCAGAAGGCAAGCTCCACTAGTAACGGAAATCCATCTGAACTTGGAAGCGTGTTTGATCGATGGAAGCTACCTCTTTAGCAAATGGCCAAGGGTACCCATGCGATGAGTGTGGACTCCTGGGTGGAGAATGGCAATTTTAGTTCGATGCAACCAAAACCATGCAGTTTCAGTTCGTTCCATTGCCACATGCACCGTGAAAGAAAGTGACCAGAGATTTCATTCTATGAGCTTCCTGTAAAATGATAGCTTTGTGAGGGCATCGCTCACAGAAAGCTATGAGTTACTTGGGGCAAGTTGGGAGAAGGTATCAAGAATGTGTTCATTTAAAGACTCCACTTAGATCTATGGACACTTTTTATAGGTTGTTCCAGAATATATTACTTTGTAAGATAGACTTTTAAAAGCAAAGAACCATTATATACCAATAAAAGCCATCATGTAAAATAAGTAGATGATATATAATATATAGAGACTAGCCCTTTGGCATAGCCAAAAGACTAGGATATAGTACCTGGAGCCATCAGAAATGTAGTTGCTCCATATTTTGGCTAATTAAAGCATTTCAATATTAGAATATGTAACTTAAAATTCAAAACATTTCCCTACATTCACTCTAAAAAAGAAATGTTCATAAAACCAAATTAAGTTTGCATGTAGGTCCATTTAATGTTATGCATTCGACTTCTTTTCTTCATGTATGCATCAGAAACCAAACAACCATAAAAATGAAAAGTCGTCCATGCCCATGTGGCTTATCTCATAGGCTTGAATAGATGACAAGTGGCGGTCAGGTTTCAAGGCAACCTGTGCAAGCGCATACGGCAAACAGAGTCAATGTAATGTTAGACACCAGCTCTAGACGATCAGCTCCTGCTATCGAAATAGACTAATTACTAAGAACAAAACCGCCTCTTAAAGCACAGGGCTTTTAAAAACTCAAATAGAGAATAGCAACAAAGAAATAGAGAGAAAACTAAAAACCATACTTTTGATTTTTAGCAGTGAATATGAACAAAGATCAGAAGGGGAGCGGATTTGGTACTGTGCGCATATCCTGAACATAAACTGACCAAAGTTTCCTCAAATGGGAAACCCCAAAGTGCTTGGAAGTATTTCTTTGATAATGCAAAACACCTTGAAAATCCTCTCTTGATCTCTTCATTCCTGAGATTGAAAATTTAAGAGACAAAGATGTTGAAACTTACATGGAGTCCAAACAAAAGCATCTAAAACCAGATGGTGTATATGTAAAACCTTTTGAGATGCCCAAATTCTGACACACACACACACACACACACACACACACACAGCACGAGAGGTATTTCAATGAGCAAGGCTTGAATGGCTAAGGAGCCACTAAGGTCACAACTTACATTAATAAGCTCAACCTCCCAGAGTTTTTTCAACAGGTCCAGGGACGTGTAGCCGTTGATGAGGAAGGCTTTGGTGTAGTCGCCCAGTTCAATGGAATCCAGCCACTCTGCCACAGAGGTGGGATGGTAGTCATCGTGACCAAGGGGCCGCATCTGCAATCAAGAATATCACATTTAGGATTCATTTCAGCCGCTCGCCTTGTGTTCCAACAACAGAATGCATCTTGCCATCTGGGAATTTCTCTGATAGGAAGCAACACATCTTTCTGGATATGCGAAGAAGGGAAAAGAAAACACATTATGCACAATTCTGAATCATTAATAATTTTCACGCTGAATTAGTTTTCAAAAATACACCAGGAAATTTTCTAATTTAGCTGCTAGCTCAACCTCATACTTGAGAGAGCTAAATATGTCAAACTTCTGTCATAGACATTATTGGCATTCTCTTGGCTGGAATTTTAACTGATGTCAGTTAAACAGGATTAATTGAATGCTGAAGGCACAAGGAACTGCACTCCCAAATGTAGGTGATAATTCTCATATGCACAAGATCAAAACATGTGAAAATACTGCATGGCTTGAACATTCAAAAGGAATCAAGGCTTCAGCGAGCCATGTACTGTAGGGATAGCAAACACGCTGCAGAGACAGACTCTGGGTTAAGCCAATAAATCAGGGGCTTCGGAGTGTTTGTGACCATGTGTTCCCGCATAGACTCTACAGTATGTCAGACAGGAACACAGAACATGCTGGCAGACAGCCCCCTACGTTTTGTCAGTTCCACACAGAATATATTTTTAAGATTTTAATTTCTTTCTTTAGGATAACAAAGACGTTTGACAACTGCACAATGTTTCTGAGTTTAAATTAGCGTGTGGAAGTAATTTAAGTAAGTGAAACTTCTGGATTTCAAAATGTGTATGGTATTGGTCTACTCCTCTTGCTTTTACTTAAAATTTTAGGTAAATTTACAGTGCTTGGTTTTTAAAAGCGATTCTTCTCTAAACCCAGGGCTGCTCTGCATGCAACGCCATATGTCTTAATACTTCACTTATTAACGGCAGCTGACACCCCATTAGTCCGAGCCATCCTTCAGTGAAATTCATGATGGGAACAGCCACGCGGAGCAGAGAGCACCAGAGATTTTCCTCCCATATCAGATGCGAGGAGATAAATATTAATGGAAATCTATATGATTCTGACTTGTGAGCAGGGAGAAGATTAGCTGGGCCATCAGGGGCTCAGATTTCAATCGCAAGCATGTTAGGCTTTCGACCACCGGGCAGAGTTCTCCGTTTTCAGATTCTCCTTACTCCTCGATCTTAAGTTACTTTTTCTCCTGGCTGCTTTGCTGTGGTTGCACTCCGCAGTCTGATTTCCATCTTGATGCTCAAATGTCCCCTGCTATGAAGTTACATTGCAATCATTATGTGCATTAGCATCAGGACCGTATTTATTGCAAATGTTCTTGTTCATTGCAAAACAACCCTTGGAGACTAACCAAAGGCCTTCTAGTCAAGCTGCCCAGAGTGTACCTTCTGGAAGATAAAGATATTCTTTAAGGCAATCCCATATGGTTTTTCCATGTACTAGAAATATTTGATAGTGTCTGCTACATATGCAAAATTTAAGGAAAATCCCCTCAGCCCACGCCCTGCTGCCCTATCTAGGATGCGATGCATGTTTTCAACAGGGTATGTATACTCCTTCCCTCCTAGCCCCAGTTGCTTAAACCAGGGAGGGGAATACTCAGCCCAAGCATGCCCATCAAAACGATGAGTCAGATACATAACGCAATATGGATGAACCTTGAAAACATCACGCAGAATGAAATAAGCCAGTCACAAAAGGATAAACACTATATGGTTTTTCTTATACAAAATAGGCAAAGAAATGCAAACCAAAGCTTATTACTGGTTACCAGGAGTGAGGGGAAGTAGAAAGGGGAATTATTTTAGGGTGTGCACATCTATGTCCATGGTGATGGAATAATTTGGAAAAAGAGGATGGTTGTACAACATGAATAATGTGACTAATATCTTTCATACATGTAACATGGTTGAATTATCAAATATTTTGTTATGCAAAATTTTACCACAATTAATAAAAAGTTCCACAGGAATCTAAGAGCCACCCTACTTAGATTCCCCATTAAGGAATTGAGAAATTGAGGAACCCAGGCACTTAGTGACAAAGCAAGAGCTAACAAGACCTCTCGAGAGATGGCATGACATGGAGCCAGAGCCAGGTAGATGGGGACAATTCAAAGCCATGTGTAAGCGGAGGTTGTAGAATGGTAGGACTGATGGGTTAGTTGAGTAAGCTGATTGGCCAAATGGGGAGAAAGGGTTACATATATGGAGGGAGCAGAGAGAATATAAACATGAGGTAGAGGTCTCTGTTTCTTGTAATCTCCCAAATGCTGACAATGTATTAATCAATGATCAATGGGATGATAACACGCATCCAGGAAAATAATGAGAGAGATGCCAGGCTACAGGGACATTTCCGAGGGGCAGAAGCCCAAGACATGCAAGGACCTTCCATTACAGATGAAGGAGGGAGGGAAGAAAAGAGAGAGAGAGAGAGAGAGAGAGAGATCCCCTAAAGCAAGTACCTCCTAAACTATAAGAAAATAAACTTCTGTTCCTTAAAGCCACCCTTTGTGCTATTTCTGTAATAGCTTCATTCGATAATGAAGACTCCAGTATTAATCGAAGTATCAAGAATACCTACCAGAAGACTTCAATACGTCTCATTAAGTATAAAGCTATTTGCCTACCCAACTCCAATCCCTCAATCTTGTCTGAATACGAGGGAATTTAGAGTCAGAAAAGAGAAAATTTAGAATCAGAAGAGAGAAGGATGCAAGACCCTTTGGGGGAAGCTTAAACTTTAAAGAGTGAAGCAAACAGGAGATTTAAACTGTATTAGAAATGATTTTCCATATTTTAATGACTGGAAAAGTATTGCATGTGTCTGAGATATCATTAAGAAACATCTTTGGTGAAGGCAGATAATGGAGAAAAGAAAAAGACCACTTCTTTATCTCACTGAAGGTTGTTAAACTCAGTAATGGGGTTACTTCTCTAAGACAAATTCTCTGAGACCAATCTTTTTTTTTTTTTTTAATCGTTGTATTAAGGGCTCATACAGCTCTTACCACAATCCATACATACATCAATTGTATAAAGCACATTTGTACATTCACTGCCCTCATCATTCTCAAAACATTTGCTCTCCACTTAATCCCCTAGCATCAGGTCCTCATTTTTCCCCCTCTCTCCCCACTCCCCACTCCCTCATGAACCCTTGATAATTTATAAATTATTATTTTGTCATATCTTGCCCTGTCCGACGTCTTCCTTCACCCACTTTTCTGTTGTCCATCCCCCAGGGAGGAGGTCACATGTAGATCCTTGTAATCGGTTCCTCCTTTCCAACCCACCCTCCCTCTACCCTCCCAGTATCGCCACTCACACCACTGGTCCTGAAGGGCTCATCTGCCCTGGATTCCCTGTGTTTCCAGTTCCTATCTGTACCAGTCTACATCCTCTGGTCTAGCCAAACTTGCAAGGTAGAATTGGGATCATGATAGTTGGGGCCGGGAGTGGGAAAGCATTTAGAAACTAGAGGAAAGTTGTATTTTTCATCATTGCTACATCACACCCTGACTGGTTCATCTCCTCCCTGAAGCCCTTCTGTAAAGGGATGTCCAGTGGCCTACAAATGGGCTTTAGGTCTGAGACCAATCTTAAGGAGGGGAGAGGGAAGGTAAGATCTAGTGGGAGGGGAAGAAACACTGGCTGGGTAGTGAGCAAAGGGGACGTGAGCCTGGAAGTGAGAACACTAAAGCCTGCAGGAGGAATCTGAATTCCTCCCCAACTCGTTCAGGAAATGCTGGAACAGTGCCAACTCTAATGGCTGATGAACAGAGAACAAAACAGTTCCACCCTTCATGAAAATGATAACTCTCTATTCAAAATTGCAAAAAGAAGACCAATAAATTAAGACGGCTCAGTCTACCTGAAGATAGAAGACTCCAAACGAAGGTGCAAAATTCCATTTACACATATTTAATGATATGCACGATGGTTACTGTGCTGCCACAATAATTTCTTCCACAGCAATTCTCCCATCTGTTCCTCCTGCCACTCCCCAGTGGAGATCCTGGTGTGCTCTGACAAAAACGAATGCAATACCTTCCATGTGGTTTCCTACCTTTGTCCCAGCTTGCTAGATTCGTCTTCTAAAGACACAGGCCCTTGGTCAACTCTGGCACAAAAAGCTGTAGTAGCTCCTTCTTGATACAAGTCCCAATGTCCCATTCCAGCATTCAACGCTGGTTGAGATTATATGCAACACATCTTCTTAACTTAATTGCCCACTACTCTGCTTTGCGTATCCTATTCTGATTGATCAGCCACTTGTGTATGTTCATGTAGTGTGTTAACTCGATTGCTTTCCCCTGAACATGACCTATGTAAGATACATTCAAATCCTGGTCAATCTCATTTTCCATGCTGGGATTGCCTTAGTCCCTGTTTCTGCAGTGACTTCTCCAGACTGGCTCTCTTTGTTAGTTCTAAGATCCAAATTCCCAATCATTTGTAGACGTGCAATAGATATCGCCAACACAAGTAAGAAATAAATTCATCACCTGCAGGTCGCAGGGCTGCCCTTCCTCTGTTTTCTGTCTCAACTGATTGGGTACTATGACTCTGTTCCCCAAATAGAAGCTTAGGGATCATTTTACTTTCTCTTTCCTCTTACTATCATATTCAAGTAGGCAAATAAGCCTTATAAATTTGATTTATAAAATCCACTGGAGATCCCCTTGCAGAGGGGTCTCGGGGAGGAGATGAGCCAGTCAGGGTGCGATGTAACAACGATGAGAAATACAACTTTCCTCTAGT